GTTTTTTTTCTTTCTTTAATAAAATAAAATGGCCCAGGTCTACTTTAAGATATTTCTGTTTCATTAAATAATATAATTTATTAGTTTTGCATAATTGCATGCATGAATGTTTAACATCCTATTTGTTTTAACTAGTCTACTCCTGAACATTTTAAACCAACTCAAGAAGAATTAGACAGGTTACAACAATCAAGAATTCCTTCAAATACTTTGCAAAACACAAACAAATGGGTTAGGGTTTTAAATGACTGGCGCAAAGTAGTTGGGTACAACTATTTGCTTGAATCTTTAGATGATAAAGATAGAATCGAAAAGGAAGTAAGTGAATTTATTGTAGGTGCTAAAACCAAACAAAATCAAGTATATTCTAGATCATCACTTAAGAATGCTGTTGCTGGAATCAGTCAACACCTCAGAAATGTCAAAAAAGATTGGAACTACAATTTATGCAAAAAAGAGCATTTTCCAAAATTAAATGGGATTTTAGATGGACAACTGAAGTTAATGAAAAAACAAGGCATAGGCGAAGCTAGACCATATGATGCTTTAACTAGTGATGAAGTTAAATTAATATTGAATCACAATGTTTGCTCTCCAAATAATCCAGCTGGTTTACTTTATCGTATTTTTATGTGGATATGTTTACTTGGTTGTGCCAGAGGTGGTGAACATCATTCTTTGGTTATTTCACAATTTGAGGATACAGAAGATGGTTTTATCCTAAAAAAGTATCAAATGAAAAATGATCAAGGTGGTATTGAAGGAAGGCAGACATCTCATGTTATTTTTTTTCCAAAAGATCCATCTAGTGTTAATGGTCCAAATTATGATATAAGATTGTATCTTTCTAAACGTCCTTCTCATTATAAATGTAAGTCACTTTATTTAAAAGTGACTCAAAATATTGAAGGTAACTCATATATTTATATATTAATTAATAATTTACATTATTTATTCCTCCTATTAAATTTTCCTATTCCATTTTAGGTATAAACAATGGTATTTGGTATGAAGACAAGAAACTTGGAGATAAAACAATTAACAAAATGTTTCATGATATTTGTGTTAAGGCTGGTATAAACATATCCAATCGAAATATTGGAAATCATTCAGGTCGCACAACCTCTATTCAATCAATTTTTAATGCTGGACATGAAGAATTGAAGGCTATGTCAATATCTGGACATGTTTCTCAGCCAGGAATACGTTCTTATTTAAAAGTTACTGGTGATCAAAAAAGAGAAATATTAGGATCAGTCTTGAATGGTATTATAGATCCTTCTTCCAATTTAACTTCAAATAACAAAAGCAATAAAGTTAATGATGTAGTTAGTGGTGAACTTGATGTTATGAGTATATATAGTGAACCAGAAGATGAACCTGACATAGGTAGTGAACTTGATGTAGTTAATGAACTTGATGAAGATAATGAGCCTGATGTAGTTGATGCAGATGGTGGAATTAATGGATCTGGCAAACCTAATCTTGTAAGCATATTATTCATGATTTTACAATAAATTATAATTCAATGACAAAAAAAAAATTATTATTATTGGCAATTAACTTATTTTGGTATTATATTTAAAAAAATTCAGGGTAAAAATTCTAGTCAATTTCAATCTGCCCTTCATTTACTCAAAAACAAAAGAACATTCAGTGATATTACAAACAATATTGATCATGAAGATGCAAGAGATTCTAAAAAAGTTATTATCCAAAACTACTATAAAAATTGTACAATCTATAATAGATAAATTTAGCTACTATATGTATATTGTCAACAATAATAGTGAATTAGTTAATGGCTATTAAATTTATAAATTTAAA